TTTTTAAGATGAGTAGTTAGGTATATTGTTTTTATTTCATTTAAAATATTTATGATTTTATATCTCTCATTAAAAAAAAAAAGCAGGATGGTTTCCAGTGATTAAAACAATATATATAAACCATCTGCTTCACCTAGAATCTTTGTATGCTTCAGTTAATTCTTCAGTGTACCTCATTAGCCTACTTTTTATTTGATATTTCTGTACAAACCACATGCACAACCCCCCTTCCTGTGACAGCCACATGAGTACTAAGAATACAGACCTGGCTTTTGACCTACAGGGCTTAGGCAAAACCCTTTTATAAAGAAAGTATATTTACTAAGGAAAACATCATATGGCTGGCTCAGGGCAACAATAACATCAGCACTGCCAGAAAACACATTGGGTGGTTCAGATCACCCCAAACTCGAAAGAACTCTTTCCCTTTATACTTTAAATTCCCTGCAGTACATTAATTTCTATGAAGAACTAATAACTTCTCTGTTGGTAAGGCAACTGTTCCTTGTATTAGCGTGCAAGACAGAAAAAGTAAGGGTATATATAGCAATTGCATTGAACAAAACCTTGGTATCCACTGGGATTTGGTTCCAAGACCCCTGAAAATGCCAAAATTCATGGATCCTCAAGTCTCATTATATACAAATGGCAAAATTAAGGTTTGCTTTTCGAACACATTACCCCCCCCCATGCCGGAATGACTGTATTCTATTTAATGATGGAAAACCGCAATAAATGATAGCTCTTGTCTACAATCTTGTCAGTGTCTTGCACATGTGTAACTTCACTTATAGAAGTGGTTGTAGATTTTGATCCAAGGAAAAATGCCTGCATTTAGTTCAGTGTTGCAGAAGCAGAGAGGGACATGTGGGTTTTTTGCACATGCACAAGCACATGCACATTCAAATGTTAATTCAGTTGTGCAACTTTGCCCTTCAACACAAGGGTTACATAGCACAATCGATGTGTAACCCCATATGCAGAGGTTTATATTATACAACTTTGATATAGGAAATTGGTTGTTGTGTTCAGAAATAGCCAGAAATTGAATTCTATTCATTCATTGCAGGAAATTTAGCATCAAGATTTGGTCAAAATGATGTTTGGGTTTTATTTCAGAAATCATAGCACCAAGATGAAAATAGAATTTTTCCTTAAATTGTTCTTGTTCTTAACTGCCTTTCAGTCAACCTGACTCATAGTGACCTTGTGGATGAGAAATCTTCAAGTTTCCCTATGCTTAATTGCTCTGCTCAGCTCCTGCAGTTTCAGACTTGTGACCTCCCCAACTGAGTCTAACCATTTGGCATGCAGTCTTCCTTTCTTTCTACTGCCTTCTACCTTTCCTAGTATTATTGCCTTTTCTAATAAGTCATACATTCTCATGATGTGGCCAAAGTATGATAGCCTCCATTTAGTCATCTTGGCTTACAAGGAGAGTTCAGGCTTGATCTGTTCTAAGACCCATTTATTGTCTTCTTGACTGTCCACAGCACTCTTCTCCAGCACCATACATTGTGATTGGGAATGTCATGGCTTGGACAATCCTAAGTTTGGTGTTCAATGCCATATTGTTGCACTTTAGGATCTTTTCTAGTTTTTTCATAGCTGCCTTTCCCATTCCTAGTCTTTTTCTCCATTCTGATCAATCTGTGATCAAAGTATGGGATATCTTTGACTATTTGAACTTCCTTGTCATCTAGAATGAATTCATGTAGAATTTATGTGGTCATTTTTGTTTTCTTAAGCCTACTTTGGCACTTTCCTCTTCAGTAATTGTTTGAAGTCTTTTTTACTGTTGGTAGAATGTTGTCATCTACATATGTTTGGTTGTTGATATTTCTTCCTCCTGTCTTCACTCCTCTTTCCTCTGAGTCTCAAGGGGGGGGGGGGAAGCCCTACATAAGATTGCTTATGATTTTTTTCCCTCAGAGGAGGAGGAAAAGGAGAAGATGTGGCATTGGTTCCCTTTGCAAGGCCAAATGAATCAGAGTTCAGACTCTAGGAAAAGCTCAGAGGAACAGAATTGTAGAAGCATATTTACAGATGTCCTACTTTATACCAAAAATTTTCCACTCAATGAACCCTCAGAGTTATGTTTAAAGTAGCCAGTGACCTCTTTTCTTTTCTTTTCTTTTCTTTTCTTTTCTTTTCTTTTCTTTTCTTTTCTTTTTGTGAATCAACTGAAGATAAACTGGAGAAAAGCAGTCAATAAAAGACAAATAATTTTGTGCTGTAATCTTATAGTGGGACATTAAACCCAGTGATATTAATAAGGCTTATTTCTGAGTATACATGGATAAACATGGATGAGATGGTCCTGTAAATAGCTGTTCCCTATTATATGAATTTGTAAACAAAATGGAGTATCCTTCTTTCCTCTGACAGTACAAATGAATTGTGCTGATCTCAGTGAATCAAATAAAATTTATGCACAAATGATTTCCCACCAAGGCCTTATTTGCCTCCTTATGGAAGCTGATAGACAAGGGAAAAACTTGATGACTTCATGGAAAAGGCTCCTTTGCACCCTAGATGGCTTTTGAGCACTGCAAGAATGCAATACCATCAATATTATAGTGAGTAACATTAGAAAGTCAAAGAAGAGTAATACCTTTATCTTCTGGATTTTTAATATCATTTAGATTTGGTACAATCCCTATACTGTCAATATTAAAAGCAGAAGGATCCATTCCCCTTTCCCCTCATGCACACTTGATGCTGCCTGCGTGGTATTAATAAAACATGGAGGAGGAATAAAAAATAATCAGTGAGCCTATGGACTTTACTTATGTCTGAGTGAAGAGTTATGGCCACATTTGAAGGATAGGGATACTAATATTTACAATTTAACATTTACTTCTGACTTGTGAAGGAGCTGAGTGTTTCTTTCTTCAGTAGCTAATTTGTCTCAAGATACAAAAAGGGGTGGTGAAAAGTGTAAGATTTTATCACCCATGTGCCAATGCCAAGTAGTTAAACAGATGTATCAACACTTCAGAGAGAGCAGTGATTGATGGTCTCCAAAAATCTGATGGTGGTGCTCAGCTGCAATGATTCTCCCCCCACCCACACACCCACGTATCCCTTGGTATTTTCATTCAGTCCCCATTTATTTCACAGAACATTGGTGTTTGGTAGTGGTTATTGTTTTCCTTAGTGAGTGGCTGTTGCTAATTTGAAATAGGATTATTTTTACATATTATTTGGGGGAGGGGAGTAGAGTACTGAAGGAATGAGAAGGATGTATATCCTGGGGAATGTTCACAAATGTGGATGATACACTCTGGATTTTCTTTGCACAATTTCCCAGGTAGTACAACAACAACAACAGGATGTTGCAGATTTAATTAAACAAATCACACACCAAAAAAAGTACATAGAGCAACTAACATGAAAAATATTTTGAACTGTTTTAACTGGAAACAATTAGACAAAGAAGCAACAAAAAAGGGAAAGAAAAAAGCATTAAGAGTATATGCAGAGTTACCAGCTTGAAGGACTTAAACAAACAGTTCCTCAACAATGTATTTTTATGAAATGATTATTTTATGTTACCCTTTTGGTTTGTTATGATCCATAGTAAATACATCTGCCATGGGTAAAGTGCATCCCTGAGCCTGCACAAGGCCCTGCAAAGACTGTTTTCATAGCCCCTGATCCCTTCCCACTCCCAACACCCAACTCTTTTCTGGTGGTGAGGGAGTTGTCACTTTCCTCTTCTGGGAACATCCCCAAGCAGCAGTTCACTTTTTAAATAGGTCATGAAGGCTTTTTTAGCTTTTTTACCCTTCTGCAATACATAAATGAATGGACATTTCTAAAGTTTTGCTTGAGCACATTCCATACTTCTACTGTGCCATGAAATATCAAGTTGCATTACATCAGTCTTTCCCAATCTGGCTATGATGGTTGAAGCTGCAATCCAACATGTCTGGACAGTACTGGTTTGGAGGATAATTGCTTTATAAATACTATAATAAACATTGTTTCTGGAAATAAAATTGTAGTAGGTACACAGGCAGCTGCTTTATGCTGTATCTGACAATTTCTTCATGTGGCATATTCTTTTTAGAGTACTCTTTTTGGCAGTAGCAGGGGCACCAGAGGCTTAAAAAAATTTACATATCAACTGCCACATTAACTTTTCATCATTTAGATCTGGAATAATCTACATGGAAAGTTTATATTTTGTCATGGAACTATGGCCTTTTTGCAAGCCAGTAGAGTCCTGTCTCAACTGCTCACTGCACCATGGTTTGCTGGCAAGAGGAGACTAGATGTGTATTCCTTCAGTGTCCCATGCAACAGAACCATAGAACTTCTTCAGTTGGTGCTGGCTGGCTTTTAAGCTAGTTTTAGGGGGCATTTGCAATCACTGTGATGGTGCTATTAATTGTAAATGGGAATAACAATATTTACAAAGTCATGAGTATAGCTTACAATATTGTAAATATTGTGCCAGATGCCTGCCACTATTTCAGACAGCATTTTCTGTGTAGAAAATGGCATCTTCTGCAGAAGAAATTATATTATTTTTCCATTCATAAAATGCTGTTTCCTGCACACATACAACACACACACATACAAACATGTATGGATTTTGCAGTCCTAAACTTGAAATAGTCTGTGAAAACAGCACTTTTTGATTACTTTCATGCACCAGGAAGAAAACCACCAAAATTACCTGTTGCTTCATTCAATATGAAGCACATCCCTAGGAATGACACTACTTATGACATCCAACTAACTACATAATCTAACTGATCTATATGCAATAGGCAAGTATAAAAATATGGAGAAGACACATCCTGGCAAAACATGCAAACAATGGAAAAGCAGAGAGTCTGAGTCCAGCAGACAACAGTTTACCTCCTCTATGGGCCCTGTCTGAATTGGATGGCATCTCTGAGAGACAGAAGAGGCACAGGGTGGTAAAGTGGTGATGATTTTAAAAGATATTTAGAATAATTAATGAAGGATAAGGCCATAAATGGAGAGACAGCATGGTACAGTGGTTTGAATGCTGGACTATGGCTCTGGTGATCAGAGTTCATATCCCTGCTCAGCCATAAACACCTACTGGATGACATTGGGCAAGTCATACTCTCTCAGACTCAGAGGAAGGCAAAGGCAAACCCCCACTGAACAAATCCCTTTGAGATCAATCGGGGCAGCTAACAATAGTAAATTATAACGTACAACAATAAAATCTAATTCCCTCCCCCCCCTTAAAAAGTTATTAAGGGCCTAAGTAGACGGGCGGCACAGGGCTGCCCCAGGAAGCTGCGGATCGAGGCCGAAGCATTTGCATTCCTCGGCCCTGCGGCACAGCTTCGCCACCCCAGGAAGGAGTGCTAAAATAGCGCTCCTTCCACAAATCGCTGAAGGTGCACCACAAAAGGCTGCTGGCGCACCTTTGGCGCCTTTTCCACCACAGCTTGTGTGGACGCTGTGGTGGATGGGCATCCTCGGAGCACCGAACATGCGGAGGGTCCAGCGCTCCAATGACTTCTTCAGGAAGGGGTTGGGGCGCCCAGTGTGCAGCTGCCCCTTTCCTTCCTTGCCCTGAAGATGGCGCTTTGCGCCGTCTGCTTACTCCCTCAATCATATTCTATGTTTTAATTTAATTTACAAATTAAAACATAGAATAAAAAATACAACAATAAAAAAACAATTCCACAGTACCGCAATGACTCTTTATTACATTTTAAAATTGAAAGCCTGGAGGCCCACTTAAAGGAGAAATTCCTGAGGCCAGATTATCTGTCATGGAAAGGCCTGCCAGAAGAGATCCATCTTTACAGCCTTTTTAAAGCTGTCTAAAGATGTCAGTTGATGGATCTCGTCGGCAGGCCATTCCATAGTTTTGGGGAGACAACCGAAAAAGCCCTCTGGGAGGTAGCCACAAGCCTAGCTTTTTGTGGCTGCAGCAAATTCCACCCGGAGGATCGGAGTGTGAGGGAAGGATTATAGGGGAGAAGGCGGTCCCTGAGATAGTTTGGACCCAAGCCATTTAGGGCTTTAAAGGTAATAACCAACACCTTGTACTGGGCCTGGAAACTTATGGGCAGCCAGTGAAGGGACCTTAAAACCGGAGTAATATGGTCTCTCCTAGATGTTACAGATAATAATCTGGCTGCCATATTTTGTACTAGCTGTAGTTTCTAAACCAAGCACGAGGGTAGCCCCATGTAGAGTGCATTACAGAAATCTAGACGTGAGGTTACCAGCACGTGCACAACAGTCTCAAGATCCCTTACATCCAAGTTTGGAGGTGGGGGGAGTTAGGGCCAAGAGATGATACCTGATAGAGGGCAACTGATAACAGACCATAATTTCTATTTATTTTATTTATTGTTTTTAAAATACCATATGGTTCACATACTGAGAGAAAAAATTATATGTGTCCCATACTGATACAGTAGTAAACAAAAACCACACACATGTGGAAAATCAAATTAGCCCCTCCCCCAAATTTTGATAGAAAACATGTTTTTACTTGGCCTTAGAATTACACCCATGATGGCACCAGTTAGTTCTCTAAGTGGAGGGTACTCCATAATCAGCTCATTATAGCAAAGAAGGCCATTTCCCATATCATTCTACAATATATTGCCTCCACTGATAGGACACATGTCACTGAGAGCCTACCACTGAATTAGCTGCTGTTTTTTCAAGGAGTCAATTGCCACTGGTGTATAACATTGTGATGCATAGTCTTCTGTGTATGGTAAAGGTAGGTGCCCATGTAGTGCAGATGAAAAAAATATATCATTGGAGATGTTATAAATCAAGTACCATTGATGTCACCACTAGCAAATGCTGATAATGACTGTAAAGGTAATAAAAAGGCCATGAGGACAGTTTTGAAAATCCCACCTACAGCATCAAATATTGTTCCAAAAATGTCTTTGAAGGCTGAACCAAATAGAAAAGTGCAATAAATTTCAAATGATGGCTCAGTGAAAAACATACACAATGTTGTCATTTGATAGTATTTCATAATGTCTGATTATGATACTGTGTTGTGGCTACTACTTCCAATTACATTTTTATATATAAATCTTCCATAACTAAGCAAATAGCAGAAGCTGAGGACTGAGTTGCAAAAATTAAGAGCAATTCACTTTGGTCTTTTTTTTTTGTTTTTGCTTTTTTGTTTTGTTTTTTTTTTTTTGTGTGTGTGTGAAATGTTGTGTTAAGCTTTAGAGCAATTCATCAGTCCTGAATCTATGGCTGTGCTCTGTTCACCCACAATGTATGTGAACTAAAGCCTTATATTGTCATGGGTGAACAGATCTCTAAGGGTGTCTGACCCTTTCTTTTTCTTTTTTACTGATCTTAGGCCAATAAAATGTATTTAATACAACTAATAAATGCACTTAGACACAAAAGGGCTTTGTAACTGTTAGAGAATGCAATTTATAATTCAAAACTTTTGGTCTGTATATATTTAGAGATGCTTAATTGGTATCCTTTGAGGGAGAAAAGGAGGGATGAAAAAAAAAAAAGAAAGAAAAAGAACAATTTTCATATGCTTTCAGAAACTCTACCAGGCTATTACATGAAGTACTTTTAAGTGCAATACATTAAGGGGGTTCTTATAGCAGACTGTTGCAATTATTTTTTATTTCTTCCCAATTTTCACATAAGATGGAGTTCTTCCCCCATTAAATGGCCTACAAAAAGATTTATTCATTTTTTTATTCATTTTAGCTCTCCCATAAGGAATGATTGAGAAATATATATAGTGGTTTATTGGCAATTTTTAAGTTCCATGAGAATGGGGCACAGGATATACTTATGCGCCAAGCTCCAGCTGCCATGCCCCATGGTATGTCAAATTTCCAAGTGTTATTCAAACCAGTCACAGAGAACAGGCTCTTCTAGAAATTGTAAAGAGTTCTGTGGTCTTTAAACACTTAAGGCTGAAAGCATAAGTGCACTTTCTTGACATCTGCTGTGCTTGGCCTACACAGCAGATGTCGCAGGGCAAGAGATAGGTGAGAGTTTTGATTTATTCATTTTTGAAATAAGATCTTCCTAGAATCTGCAGGTTTCTGGAGACTATTTTTTAAAAAGGAAAGAACATGAGAGACAGTAAAACAGCTAGTCCACCCATTTAGACTGAGAACTTTTGTGTTTTCTCATCTTGAAATCTGTACCTTCATACAAATTATAACTTTCATTCTTTCTGTCTAGCTTATAAATTTTCACAGCTACATGAAGACAAGATGACATGTTGTTGTTGTTTTGTCATACTGGGGATCCCTGCATCTATTGATTTTGTCCAGTGGATATGATTGAAAATTTCAATTTCTAGACAAAAGTTCTTGTAATGTTACTTCAAGCTGACTCCAATATATGGCAACCATATCATAGATTTTTCTCAGCAAGAATTACTCAGAGAAGGTTTGCCATTGCCTTCTTCTAAGGTTAAAAGAATGTGACTTGCCCAAGATCACCTAGTGGATTTGTGTGGCTGGTCTATGGGCCTAAGCAGACTGACAGGAAAAGTTGGTTCAGTCCTGGGTTATCCAAAAGTGGGTTCATATAATGCTGTCTGCACAGCCAGCTCTGAAGTTGGGTTGAACAGCCATGGGCAGTCCACATTGTATGGCATCAAGATGCACCTCTCAGTTATTCTCCCCCCCCCCCCCCCCCATATCATCACATGAACACATCACCTATGACCACCAATTACCTCTCTCCTACCACCCAGCTACCATCCCATTGGACCCCTGTGTGACTGGACATACAGTTGCATGTGTGTACAGTGTTTTGTACAGTGTCTTGATGCATTAGCATGCCTAATGACATATTGGCAAAGCACAACCATGAAGTCCCCCGTGTATCCCTCCCTTTTCCCCCTTCACCCCACACACCATGTTGGACTGTCTGTTTGTGTATGTTGTAATTCCATCCATTGTATTATTGACAATGCTTTTGGGTTTTTGCTTTCCCACAGTCCCACACTGGTGCCGTACATTGCATGTCCAATGATGCACATTTTTTTGGGTTAAGTTGGAGTATCGTAACTTCTTTTTGCTCCAGTTTTTAGCCCAGACTGTGGCTTTTTGTTGATTTCTACCTGCTTTCACCTCAGAGGTTGTCTAAACAGCTTGGATTCACGTCAGTTTGACGTTGCTTTATTTGGCCAGTGTGCACAACCCCTCAGACTTCTGGTCCATTATACCATGAATGATTTTAAAAAAAATGTATGCAAAAGAAGTAATATGGACAAAATCCGTTCTTACCCTGCCCTAATCCTAGGGGCTGTGGTACATCCCTAAACCTACTTGAGCATTTTCACTACTACAGCATACTGGCTCTCAAGTTAAATCTAAAGGCTTTGCATAGCTTGGAAAGTTACTTTTGATGAATAATTCATTCCCTTGTTAAAATGTGTGAGAAGTAATACATAGTTATTATTCATAACTGCATTTGGAGAAAATAACTCATTTATTTCATTGTGTGGCCATTCTTTTTTACTTTTGTGATTTAATACTGAGAAGTGCACAAAAGTATGACTTTAAAATTCAAACTGTCAATATGTAGCTAGAAATGCTTTGATGGCTTTTTTAAAAAGTAGCTTTTTTGGAAGTAGGAAATGCTATTTATTTTATTATTAAAACAAAATGATACCTAAACTACTCATTTCTGTTATTTTTGAAAGGTTACTCTGTTGGACCCTTATTATCCAAAAGTAACCAGTTACAGGTAACTGCCATATAACTAGTTACTGTCAGTTTTTAAGCTTCTGTTTCCCTTTGGCATACATAGCACTTCCTCTCTAGGGAAATTACTTGGAAGCTTCAGAAAGCACACAGTGCCTACTTGTGACCTAGTTCCATCTGGCAACTCATGTTCTTAATGTGACATATGAGCTCTATGTGTGTTTAAGAATAACAGCATTTATATAGCTGTACTTAAGGTCCCAGAATGATTAATACACAGAGCTGGACTTGGATTGAGAAGCCTTACTGGGCCGCAAAGCATTCTGGATTACAATGAGCCAGTCATGAACTCTCAGCCTATTATTTTATAAAGTGGTTGCAGTGATAAAATG